TGAGCCATTTACTTTATTTCAATTCGCTGCAACAACCATATAAACTGGTGCTAGGATGACCATTTTCAAAGGAAGGGACAGAAGCTCAGGAAAGTTAAGCAACTTGCCCCAGGCCATACCACTGGTAGGTAAGGATTCAAATTCAGATCTGACTGCAAGTCCGTGTACTTTCCTCTCTAACATCGTCTTCCATTGTGTTAACAATACAATTTAATAGTATTGAAGTTGTGTACAACACGCAATTCTATATTTCATCACTTAAACACAAAAAGTTTAGAAACGTCTTGTGACTTATATACGTCTTAATTATAGGACTAATTATATTTAATCATTGAAATGACTATTAACTATTTATATTGGCCACAGTTGATTTATTCACTTTATTAATTCAACAAATATTGATTAAGCACCTTCTATGGACCAGAGGCTCTGCCAGATACTTGAGATGAAACAATTAACAAGACAAATACGGTCCCCGTCATTACAGTGTTTGTTTCTAGTCAGGAAGACTATAATTAAGCAAATAAACACACAGATTGCAAATTTTGGTAAGTGCATATGATAAATAATGAGGTATTACAAAAGGGATAACAGAGGGTTCCTCAGTTAAAAATTAAGGTTCAGAAAAATTGTCTTAGAGGAATGTCATTTATTGAAAACCCTAAGGAGGGGTGAAAATTCAAAAAAGGAATGAAAACATTCCAGGCATATTCTAGAGGCAAAATTATAATTCACAAGGTAGAAAAGGTCTTGCAACATTTGAAAGCCCTGAACCACTGAGTGAGGGGAAGACTGACTACAGGTTGGAAGGTGGGCAGGGATGAGGCCATGTATGAACTCACAGACTCTTCCACTCAACAATATGAGACTTTCTTCTCTGTCCAATGGGAAACTATGAAGAATTTTGAGCAAAGGAGTGACATGATCCAAAGTATGCTTTAAAAAGGTCACTCTAGTTGCTATGTATTGAAGAATGAGTTCAGAAAAGGGCACAAGAGGGAGCAGGAAGACTGATTTGGAAACCATTACAGTAACTTAAGGGAGAGTCAAGGTATGGTTGATTTAGGGTGGTCTATGAGAGAATTGGAGTTAAAGTAATAAAGACTTGATAATGATTGGTATCAGTGTGAGAGGTATCTAGGGAAGCTGTCAATTTCTGATTTAAGCAGCTGAGAAGAAAGTGTCATTTGCTGAGATAATCAGAAGTTCTGATTTGAATAGATGTCCATGAATCATCTAAGAGGAGAGTATAAATGATAAGAATAATTTTTTTAAAAGAATTAGTAAATACTTATTAAATGCTTACTGTATGGCAGGCATAGTTTTTAAGCACCTTAAATGTATTAATTCATTTGTTATCAGAAAAGCCCTATAAAGGATATGCTGATTTAGAAATGAACAAACAGAGGTACAGAAAGGTCACATAACTTATGTAGGGTGACACAGCAAATACGTTACAAAATTGGTATTGAACTCTATGTTTCTGACTCTGACTCCAAAGCCTGAAAGCTTAACCACTCCAGAGATTTCTCCCTTTCATCTTTAAACAAGCAACTAGATATAAGAGAATACTGCACAGAAGAGGATTCCAGAGCTATTCATTTAAGAAACAGCAGCATAGAGGAGGAATTTAAATCCAAGGGAATGGAATAAAGTGTAGAATAGGAGAAGGATTCCTGAAATGATCTGGGAAGAGCCACAAATAAGTCTGAAAAAGAATGGCCAGACAGATGGGAGGAAGCCAAGAGAATGTTGAGGGATTTCAAGAAGGAAAGGGCCAATGTACTGAATGCTGCTGAAATGTCTCATAAGATCTGAGCTAAGTGTTTGAGAATATGACACATAAGATATGCACTAATAGTGTTTGAAGGTTTGGCACCAAATTGGTCATCATTCAACCAAGCAAAACACCTGATGTGATGTGTTGAGCACAAAACCTAAACTAGATTAGAGACACTAAGTGTAGAAAACATTCTTGAGCTGCCAGGCTCTGAAATGCAACTCAGAGATGGGGAGATTTCTAAAGGGAAATCTGGGGTGAAGGAGGCAGATTTTTTTTTTATTTTCTCAACTTATGAGATATAAAATGGTATGTTCACATGTTGGAAGGAAAGATCTAATAGCTAGAAAAGGAGCGGCTGAAGTTGCAGGCAAGAGAAGAGAAATATAAGGAACGAAATATGAAAAAGGAGAGGGCAGAGAGTCAGAGGGGTGGAGAAGGGCCCTGACGGGAGGTGGGTCACTTCTTCCAAGGAACATGCATGCAGGCACCTCTCTGCAGGGTCCCCTGGCTGGTTATGTGTGACAGTGCATGAAATAGTCACTGAATATGCTCCCTTGCTGTCCTCTGCTTGTGCTCACCGAGGAGTGACTGTGTCTACTGGGAACAAGTTTGCCTTTTCACTGTTCTGAAAAAAAGGATCAATGATCTCAAATCTAAAGAGCATCAGGAAACCTCTGAAGCACAGAACTGTACCAGGCATGTCAGGCATTCAGCAAAATTTAGGAACAACTATCTTTTCCATTCCCCACCATTGCCCAGTACCATAGCGAAGGGGAAATCCCTATGATCCGGGAAGATAATCCAGGAGATGTCATCTCAGCCAGTAAACCACGCTCCAAGAACCAAGTGTCTCTCAATTTCCTTTTCTGAGACCTTTTCACTCATTCTTATCTCTGGTTTGTTGTAAGTACTAGGAGGAAGACAATTTAATTATAATACTCACAGGAAGATAAAGATGACGATGCAACTCCCAGGATATTTGCAATTGACAAGAGACCACTTAAACTTAATGAGTCTCTAGAGAAATACAAAGAGAGAAGATAATCTGTGGTCTATGAGTACTTGCAAGGGAGCTGTCTATTCTGCCCATTCTGTCTGATCTGCCCATCAATCAGGATGGCCCTGTCTACAGGGGAACACACCAGATACACATATCCAGGCACACATGCACACAAATGTGTATACTCAAGACACACACTCAGACACATTCCCAGACACATGCTAACACATCTATCCACACAGCATGCACATAAACACACATGTACACACAAACGAAGACACACATGCACACAAAGTTTGTGGTACTTTAACTAAGCACCACGTATGGTGAAAACCAGTGTGGCTGACGAATGGGCAGGAATAAGAATATGTAAAAAATTCTAAGTCAGAGCAAATAGTTTAGATTTATTATTCTAAATGAAATAAAAAGCCATAAGGAGTTTTAAGTGGAGGAGTGACCTGAACTGATTTTATTTTCAAAATGCTCCTGAGAGGTGACAACATGCTGGCAGCCCTCGCTGGCTCTAAGTGCCTTGGGGAATACAGGCTCAGGGTCCACGCTGGCCGTGCTTGAGGAGCCCTTCAACCTGCCACCGCACTGTGGGAGCCCCTCTCGGGGCTGGCGGAGGCCGGAGCTGGCTCCCTCTGCTTGCTGGAAGGCATGGAGGGAGAGGCGTGGGCGGGAACCAGGGCTGCGCCCAGCTCTCACGGTCCAGCATGAGTTCTGGGTGGGTGCGGGCTTGGCAGGCCCTGCACTGGGAGCCTCCGCCCAGCACCACCAGCCCCAGGCAGTGAGGGGCTTAGCACCTGGGCCAGTAGATGCGGAGGGTGCGCTGCCTCCCCCAGCACTGCTTGCCAGCCTGCGCCAAGCTCAAATTCTCGCCCGGCCTCAGCCACCTCCCTGCAGGGCAGGGCTCGGGACCTGCAGCCTGCCATGAGCAAGCTCCCCTCCCCACTGTGGGCTCTTGCGCTGCCCAAGCCCCCCCGACGGGAGCCACCCCTTGCTCCTCTGCACGCGGTCCCATCAACTGCCCAAGGACTGATGAGTGCGGGCAGGCGCATAGGACTGGTGGGCAGCTCCACCTGCAGCCCACACGCAGGATCCACTAGGTGAAGCCAGCTAGGCTCCTGAGTGGGGTGGGAACTTGGAGAACTTTTATGTCTAGCTGGAAGATTTTAAATGCACCAATCAGCACTCTCTGTCTAGCTAGGAGTTTGTGGATGCACCAATCAGCACTCTGTATCTAGCTAATCTGGTGGGGACTTGGAGAACTCTTATGTCTAGCTAGAGGATTGTAAATACACCAATCAGCACTCTGTCAAGGCAGACCAATCAGCTTTATGTAAAATGGGCCAATCAGCTCTCTGTAAAATGAACCAATCAGCAGGATGTGGGTGGGGCCAGATAAGGGAATAAAAGAAGCCTGCCGCCTCAGGAAGGGCAAGCCACTCCAGTATTCTACAACCGTGTGGAAGTGTTGTACTTTCACTCTTTGGGTCCTTACTGCCTTTAAGAGCTGTAACACTTAGGACAAAGGTCTGCGGTTTCACTCCTGAAGCCAGGGAGACCACAAACCCAATGGGAGAAAAAAACAATTCCAGACACGCTGCCTTTAAGAACTGTAACATTCACTGTGAAGGTCTGCAGCTTCACTCCTGAAGCCAGCAAAACCACAAACCCACCAGAAGGAAGAAACTCTGAACACGTCTGAACTGCCAGAAGGAACACACTCCAAACACACCATCTTTGAGAACTGTAACACCGTGAGGGTCCGTGGCTTCATTCTTGAGGTCACTGAGACCAAGAATCCACCAATTCCGGACATACTCCCATGGCTGTAATGGGGAATACTTACAGGGGACAGAGAAGACTTACTAAGCAAAGCTATTAGGAGGCTATTACAGTGTTCTAGGTGGGAAATAGAGGAAGGATGAACTGGACTGGCAGCCAGGGAGAAGAAAGTTTGGTAGATTCAGGTAGATTCTTTGGAAGAAAGACATGATGACAGGACTTGCCCAGAGATTAGGAACAAGATAAGAAAGAGTTTAAACAAGTGGGTAGGCCAGGTGGGGTGACTCATGCCTGTAATTCCAGCACTCTGGGAGGCTGAGGTGGGTGAGTCTCCTGAGGTCAGGAGTTCGAGACTAGCCTTGCCAAAAGGGCAAAACCCCATCTCTACTAAAAATACAAAAATTAGCTGGATGTGGTGACACATACCTGTAGTCCTATGTATTCGGAAGCCTGAGGTTGGAGGATCGCTTGAACCCGGGAGGCAAAGGTTGCAGTGAGCTAAGACTCACATGGCACTGCACTCCAACCTGGGCAACAGAGAGAGACTCTGTGTCAAAAAACAAAACAAAACAACAAAACATAAGTGGATAGATTTACTTAGAAAGAGAAACCTGGGAGAGAAGGGAGAATCTAGAGTTCTGTATTAGCTGTGGCTCATTTTAAATTCATGTGATCTATGTGACAATGTTCAAGAGAGACTGGATATATAAAACTGGAATTGCAAGGCTAGGTCAGGGCTGAAGATAGAAATACAAGAATTACGAGAACAGAGATGGAATATAATGCATGGTATTGGATGAAGTTGTAAGGTGAAAGTGTCCAAAAAGAAGAGTCCCTGAGCAGCTAGAAACCTCCAACATTGTAAGGTATACAGAGGAGGAGGGGGCAGCAAAGAAAGCAGAAGGAATTGTAAGTAGAGGATGAGAAGCAGTAACGAAGCATTTATCCATTTTCGTTAGTTTTACTAGGATGTGAACCAACTGAAAAAAAATATTTTGTGTGGTTTCTCTTGCAAAAAGTGAGAATTTGGGCAAGCAAAATTTTAAAGATATGTTCACAAATTATATGATATTCCTTCTTCTAACAAATGGAGTTTAATTTCCCTTTGCTTGTGTGCGGGTTACATTGACTGACTCAATACTAATTGAATCTGGCAGTGGTGGTGGGATGGTACGTCAGGATTAGATTATAAAAAGACTGCGGCTTCCATTGTGAGGTGGCCCATGTGGAGAGGAGCTAAGATCCTGGACTAAAAGTCAGCATCCAATGTTCACGCAAGGCCCAAGGCTCTTCAGTCAGCTGTGGTGAATGTTGCTAGTCTTGAGTCTCTCCCTTCAGGGTAGTGGGCTTCCTTCTGGCCCAGGGAAAGTCCAGAAATGCCTTCCAGAGTCAAGGCCTGGAATAGGGGACCCCAAGAGCCCACTTGGTGCTCTACCCCGCTGTGGCCAAGCCAGTACCCAAGCTGTAAGGCAAAGTCCCCTTTACCCTTTCCTCACCTTTCCTCAGGCAGAAGGAGTCGCTTCCCATAGCCACCACAGCTGGGAATGTGCTGGGTCACACCTGAAGCCAGCATGGCTCTGACTCACAACCAAGGCCTAAGGTCAGTACTGCCTGGCGACCACTGCCCACTATTCAGGGCCCAAGGACTCTTTAGTCAGCAAGTGACGAATCCTGCCAGGACTAGGTCCTTCGCTTTAAGACTGCAGATTCCCTTCTGGCCCATTATGCGTCCAGAAATATTTTCCAGAAGGTAGGGCCCGGAATGGAGACCTCAAGACTCTGTCTAGTGCCCTGTTCTACTGTGGCTGAGTTGGTATTCATGATGCAAGACAAAGTCCTCTTCACTCTCCCTTCTCTTCTCAAGAAGAGAGAAGGCGTCAGTCCTGGAGCTGCAAGTTGCACTTCCTGGCATTGGGGGAAGAGTGATGCAAGCACTCTTGGACACCTCAGCTGATGGTTCTGTAGGTTGTGTGTACACTAAGTCCACTGGCTTCAAGCCCAGCACAGCACCAGGACTTGCCCAGGAATTACAATCCTTGTGGTCTAGACTGCCTTTCAAATTTACATAGAACCCCAGAGTATTTTAGCCTGTGGTGAGGAACCTTGCTGGAACTCAGCTTCAGACCACTGGGATGGATGATTGTCCTCTGGCTAAAGCTGGTCTCCCTGTTCCCTCCATGGGTGCCAGCTGAGTTCAGCCCTGTGTGTGCTTTCTGCTGTCATAGGGCAGCTCTGGGTTCCAACAAAAAGTCTGATAATCACTGAGTTATCCCTTCCCTAAATACACATATTCTTTCTGTGTGCCACACAGCCACTGCCAGGGAATCGGGAAAGGCTGGTGTATGCGATTCAATACTGTTTTTCCTATGCTCTTCACTGCCTCTTTCTTTATTATAATGTTAAAACCAGGCACTGTGATTGCTCACCTGATTTTTGGTTCCTATGAAGGTGTTTTGTTGTGTGAGTAGTTGTTCAATTTGTTGTTCTTGTTGGGAGGACAATCACTGAAGGTTTCTATTCGGCCGTCTTGCTCTACCTCCTTTCCCAGCTATCCTTGTATTTTACTTTTCTGAGTGAATATTAAGAGCTATTCTTTCTCCTTTTTAATAATTGTTGGCATGAGTTTGTTTTTTGTGGGGTGTTTTGTTTTGTTTTGAAATGGAGTCTCACTCTGTCACTGGGCTGGAGTGCAGTGGCATGACCTCAGCTCACTGCAACCTCTGCCTCCCGGGTTCAAGCAATTCTCCTGCCTCAGCCTCCCAAGTGGCTGGGATTACAGGTGCCCACCAGCATGCCCAGCTAATGTTTGTATTTTCGGTAGAGACGGGGTTTCACCATGTTGGACAAACTGGTCTTGAACTCCTGAACTCAGGTGATCCACCCACCTCGGCCTCCCAAACTGTTGGGATTACAGGCGTGAGCTGCTGCACACAGCGAGTTTTGTTTTTTAATCTTAAAGTCACAGAAACTCTCAGGGGGTAGCTGTGGAATCTGAATCAGGATAGCTAGTTTCTACAGTATCCGTTTTCGACACTTATTTTACTCTATTGAAATCACTGAAAACGACAATACTAATTGGTCTTAGTCCATTTGTGCTGCTCTAATAAGATACCTGAGATTGGGTACTTTATAAACAACAATTTGTTTCTCATAATCTGGGAAGCTGACAAATTCAAGATCGAGGCTTCTGGAGGCTCAGTTTCTCATGAGGGCAGCTCTCAGCTCATCATCATAAAGATGATGCCTTTAATGCTGTGACTTCACATGGCAAAAACTGGAAGAGCAAAAGGAACTATCACTAGCTCCCTCCAGCCCTTTTATGAGGTCAATAATTTCATTTGTGCAGGCTCCACCCTCATGACTTGACAACCTCCTAAAGACGCCACCTCGGTTTTTTGTTTTTTTTGTTTTTTTGTTTGTTTGTTTGTTTGTTTGTTTGTTTGTTTTGAGACGGAGTCTCGCTCTGTCGCCCAGGCTGGAGTGCAGTGGCACGATTTCCACTCACTGCAAGCTCCCCACCCGGGTTCACGCCATTCTCCTGCCTCAGCCTCCTGTGTAGCTGGGACTACAGGCACCCGCCACGGCGCCCGGCTAGTTTTTTTGTATTTTTTTAGTAGAGACAGGGTTTCACCGTGTTAGCCAGGATGGTCTGGATCTCTTGACCTTGTGATCCGCCCGTCTCGGCCTCCCAAAGTGCTGGGATTACAGGCGTGAGCCACCGCGCCTGGCCAAAACCCCACCTCTTAATACTGTCACATTGGCAATTCAGCTTCAACACATAAATTTGGGAGAATATTCAGACCACAGCACAATCATAGCATCTAATTATAATCAGATAATCAATTTTTTTAAATTTCTCTCATACACTCACACTTTGAAAAATCTCTTACAAATGAAAATAAAATGCACACATAAGCAAAATGTATGTGCTCTTTGTTATTGAGATATCTGTGGTATTAGACATAAGTTTTTCATTTCTTTTGCTTTCTTCTCCCGACTTTCAACATAAAAGAGAACAATGACATCCCTAAAGGAAGCTGCAGATCTCCAGGAAGAAATGAATAAAACCATCGTAATGGCAGGATTGGTCTGGTTCACTTCACTACTCAAAGAAATGTGCATAATTAGCATGTCTTCATAAGAAAATTAAGTTAGAAACAAATTTCAATTATTAATTCCCTTTTGTCTTTGCCTTCTTAGAAGGAGTTTTTAGTAATCCATTTTTAACAGCTTTTATTTAACTTTTAATGTTTTAATTTTTAATTATTATGGATACATAATAGCTGTACATATTTACGGGGGACATATGATGTTTCGATATAGGCGTTAGAGTATAATCATCACATGAGCATAATTGGGGTAACCATCGCCTCAAATATTTATCATTTATTTGTGTTAGTAACATTCCAGTTCTACTCTTTTAGTTATTTTAACTTATACAATAAATTGTTGTTAACTATAGTCACCCTATTGTGTTACTGACCGCTAGATCTTACTCATTCTAACTGTATTCTTGTATCCATTAACCATCCCCTCTTTATCTCCACACTGCCTCCCAGACTACCCTTCCTAGCCTCTGATAACCATCATTCTCGTCTCCATTTTTTTAACTCCCGTATGTGAATGAGAATATGCAATATTATTTGTCTTTCTAGTTTATTTCACTTAACATAATATCCTCCAGTTTCATACATGTTGTTGCAAATGACAGAATCTCATTCTTTTTTATGACTGAATTATATTTCATTGTGTATATACCACATTTTCCTTATCCATTCATGTGTTAATGGACAATCAGGTTGTTTCCATAATTTGGCTATTGTGAATAGTGCTTCAATAAACATGAGAGAGCAGCTATTTCTTCAGTGTACTGATTTCATTTCTTTGGGGTATATACTGAGGAGTGGGATTGCCAGATCATATGGTAGCTCTATTTTCAGTTGTGTGAGGAACGAACAAACTGTTCTCCATAGCAGTTGTACTAATTTATGTTCCCACAAACAGTGTATGAGGGTTCCCTCTTCTCCACATCCTCGTCAGCATTTGTTATTACCTGTCTCTGGGATAAAAGCCATTTTATCTGAGGTGAGATTATATCTCATTGTAGTTTTGATTTGCATTTCTCTCATGACTAGTGATGTTGAGCATTTTTCACGTATCTGTTGGTTATTTCTATGTTTTCGAGAAATGTCTATTTATATCTTTTGTCAATTTTTAAATTAGATTATTTTTTCCTAGTGAACAGTTTGAGCTCTATAATATTCTGGTTATTAATATAAGGGCCCTCATTGTAAAAATCACCTTTTCTACATTCAGCATTTTTTTGTAATGTGATCAAACATATTTAGTTACAACTGTTAGCTTCATCTCAATTGTTTCAGTTTTTAAATATTATAATATGAAATATTTTGAAAATACTGAAAAGTAAAAAGAATAAATAAACATGTGTTCACACCACTAAGATCCAAC